CTCCCCAAGATGTTGCTAGGGGTCAGGAAGAAAACTGCTTAGCTTTAATTTCAGAATATCGTAGTTGGAAGATTCTTTTCAAAAGATAGTTCTATAGTAGAGTATAAATCATTTCGTTTGACTGTATGAAGCATGCGCTGCACCATGTATTACATCTTTGCATTTTTTGTTGGCGGTTATAAAAAGGCAATTTAAGTACATATGCAAGTTTTTGTCTTGTTTAGCTAAACATGGCAAAGAGAATAAGAATTAAGGGAAAAGGCAGCACAGAAACATATATGCAGCCAGACCATTCGCCTCGGTGTTATTCACTGGAATTAAGGCAGGCTAATTACAACTATTGACACTGTAAAATATGTGCTAATACAAAGAGTCACATGCGGTTCTCCTTCTGTAACTTTGTAAGGATCTTAAGTTTGACTAACGTTTATTTTGTTTTAAAATATTTACTGTCCTCACTTATTTTCCACTTCCGGCCAGAATAAACGCTTTAAATTGTTTACGCAAATTGTACTTGCTAACGCTTCAGTTCATAAGTTCGTGCGCATTAAGAGTATGCGTGGAATTCACTGTGACGCAGTTACTAAAACAATACAGTTTTGAACTTGTTGAAACTTGTCATCGTTTTAATAACATATTATTCAGTTCATCACCAACTTTCGTAAATATCGAAAGAATTTTAGTACCCATAAAAGATGAATATAGATAATCAGTACAAACGTGCTGTGCTGTATTTTTTATTTTCGTGTGGTGAATCTTCCAGGTTTGCAGCGATAAATGGTATACATGTTTACATGTTTGCAAAGCAGATGAGGAGAAATACTAGTCCTGATAACTTTTCATTCAGAAGGAATGTCCAAATAAATTTTAGGTGCGATATGAAATTATTGCAATTGGAGAATTATCACACTTTTCCCTTTTCAACCAATTGTCTGAGTGGATAGAATAGTTGAATAAGCGATAGTGAGATGCGGATTCGAAGAGCAGAAAAAGAATTGGCTGTGTTCGGGGTTTCAGTTTTTCTCACGTGAATACCATCAAGTTTTCTCTAGGAATTCCGGAATAAAAATATAATTTAGAATACAACTCTTGCATGTTTTATCTTTTTATTAAAATTCACCTGTCCATTCCTAGATTCAGGACAGTATTATGTTTTGAAGAACGCTATTACTCGACTGACCTCTGAAAGTAAGCCGCAGAAAGTTGAAGAGAAAGACTGCAAAAATTTAAATTTGGCTCTTCATTCAGCCAGTTGGATCTCAGCATCGAAGCGCCATCTTTGAAATCATCATCGAGTACCTGTTTTACATTATTCGTGATAGATGGAATTTCACATCGTGTGAAAAAGCGGAAAAACTACATAAAATAGTTGTTTTCCCAAATTATATTCACGTGTTATAGCAGTTTTAGAATTCGTGATACATGAGCTTAATCAGCAGTTTGAAAGTGTAGTAGTTCCAGTGTTATCATAATAATTTAATAATTTAAAGAAAGAATCCTTTTCTCTGAAATATTAGTCTATTTCAGCAAAATTTTATAGTTTGAATAATTTTTTATACCCCTCCATAAAAATCCATAAAGATATTAATTCCAATCAAAATCGTAAAACAACCTTGTATTTAGCGTAATGAAACACTCAATCGATTTCGAGGGCAGCTAAAGGTTCCTCCTCATCAGGAGAAAGAAATACACAGAAAGAAGAAAATAAAGGAGAAGGAGTCACAGAAACACGTGGTCCTTATCAGCATGCACGTGGTTATAACTAGATTTTTAATCAGAGTTGCACTGGCCGCCTTCTTTTACTGAGCCAGGCTATCTGATCGAGCATGAAAAATTAGCGAAGTTAAAATAGGGAGCGAGGGGCAAATGCACCTTACGCTCAAAATCTGAACTTCAAATAATGGAAAGCAACCACTGAACGGATTTTTATACTCTCTGGTAGTACCAAACGCGAGGAGGTAACGCCATCTATCGGCAAAAATAATTGAATTAAGACAGTAGAATTTTAAAGGCATTAGGAAGGACTGGATTGGACTTCAAATCATTAACTAAACCTGCTAAATCTTTGTGAATGTGAAAAGCCTCAAGAAAATCCAATTCACCTATGGAAGAAGCCTTTTGGATAATTTTTGCAGATCCAAATCAAAAATTATGGTTAAAAGTCCACTATGATACGCTATTGAAGACTTGTTAATTTTGCCTTTTCTGACATAAGATTCATGTTTCTTGATACGAAACTTCAACCCTCTTTTCGTTTGGCCGATATATCTTAAACCACACTGACACGATATACTATAAATTCCCCAAGAATTCAAGACAGAAACGCAATCTTTTAGAATCGAAGGGTGAATTTTATTTCATGTTCGATCAGATAGCCTGGCTCTGTAAAAGTAGGCGGACAGTGCAACTCTGATTAAAAATCTAGTTATAACCACGTGCAGTGCTGATAAGGACCCCGGGTTTCTGTGACTCCTTCTCCTTTTTTCTTCTTTATGTATTTCTTTCTCCTGATGAGGAGGGACCTTTAGCTGCCCTCGAAATCGATTGAGTGTTTCATTATACCTACGCTAAATACAAGGTTGTTTTACGATTTTGATTGTCACATTAGCGTGTTTTTCTTCTAGTCTATATTAATTCCAGTTTAAGTCTGCTCAAGTGACACAGGAAACTTTAATGCATACTTAATGTTTTCTTTCACTTTATTTAATAAGACCAAAACGTTTTACTAAGTATTTCTATTATAAGAGACTAATATATTATAGAATGTCCATAAATAGATTTATTTCTTTTTAGAAACAGTAATTATTTTTAGTTAATTTATTCTCGAAAAAAGCAGTTAAGCTCAGAATAGCTTTTATGAAATTAATCCCTTTCATTGTTGTTAATTTAAAAAATTCATAAAGCGAACATAATACGTTTCGCTAAAGCCAAAACTGATTTTAATTTTTCTAGCCATAGATTCGATAGCATTAATTTTTTCAAACTTGATTTCTCAGCGTATGCAAATTTAAAAACCCTGTAGGCTCTGAATGCAAGAGCTTTTCTTTAGATGCTTTGCGTGGGCATTATTTTAATGAGCTTCTGTAGGTTAAATTAAGTTCAAGTTGAGCTTTAGCTTATGGATATGTCTAGATATAACTTTAAACTCACATTCAGCTAAGTACCATTGATGATAAATTATAATGCAGCACATAAGTCTAAATAAAGTTTGAGAGGATAGTAAATACAAATGTTTTATTTGTTTTCAGTTTTCTTAAAATAAAATGAAAATATTTGTATTTAGTGAAACGAAAAAATGCAGCACATTTTTTGCTAAACTCAGCAAGGAAAATTTCTGTTTAACCAAAAAAAAAAAAAAAAGACCTTAGGCTTAAAACGGAACACACTCATTACCTGATTACTATATTTGTTACACTTATTCCAAAATTTAAACAACAAAGTTAGATTAAAAATATTTATTCCGAATCCATTGAAAGTTTCATAGATCGAGGTATCTAAAACAAAAGACAGTAACGTAAATGCAAAGTAACTGATCACTAAATAGCTGAATCACAGTGGTAAATAAAACCATATAATTTTAAGAGCTGTAGAGACATTTGGTATTTTTGGGAAGCAGGCAAGATGAAAAATGAGCAAACGCCTTTGGCGGGAATCCGAGCCACGGGCCTCTGGAATACCGGCCTGCTAGCCACGAAGGCACGCTAGGAAGGTGGGAGAAACATCTTACAGAGCAATGTTTCCTCGGTATTGAAACTGATTACAAAACGTTTACTTTAAAACCAAGAAATTCAGTTTATCAAGCAGAATTGTTGGTAATTAAAATGGCTTTATCCTGGATCAAGAAATTATCCGTGGGGTATTACATTAATTTATACTCAGATGCCTTATCTGCTCTTATGGCACTCTCACCCTTTCAAAAGAATAATATTGTTAATGAAATTAAGCATATATATTTAGAACTACGAAAGAAGCATATTTTGAATGTACATTGGATGACGCTGGTCATTATGGGAATGAGAGAGCGAATGCTCTAGCGAAAGAAGCCGCCCTGGGGGTTGGGACCGAAAAAGGTTTTTATTCAAGATTCGAAAAAGAAAACATGTCCTATAATATATGACAAGCTTATTAGAGCCTGGAAAAATTTATGGGATCTCTCAAAATGTTTAAAAATGAGCAAAAAATGAGAATTTTAGGAGATGCAGATGTCAATTAAATTATTAGAACTATTAGGTTTTCCAGTTGTCCTTAGCCCTTTTCTAGATACCCTGTTGCATCCCATCATCTATTGTCATCCATATGATGCTGTCTACATTTATCTTTGAAAATTTGGCTATTTTGAGTTTCCTTTTGTAGCCTGTAATGTAGACATAAAAACTATGCATATAACAAAATTTTTTTAGACTTCGTTTAAAAAATGTTGGCATGCGAACTTTTTTCTACAAGTGAGCTTCAAATTTGTTATATATGCAAATTTTATGGTTATATATTGGTTCTTCCGCCAAATATATCCGTTTTCCTGTTTGTTGCTTAACATTTTGATATGAGAGTGTATAAATACAAATAAAGAAATTATTTTTTATTGCTTGAAAAGAATCTACATGTTTATCTAAAATAAAAATAAGACCTTATTTTATAGTAATGTAAAATAATAAAAAAAAGGGAAAATTTACCATCTCATATATATAATTAAAATTATTTTCTTCCGTTTCTTATCAATACGATACCTTAATTTCAGTTAGAACAAAACCAAACAATTCTCGTAATTCGATTAGAACTCTGTATGCAATACTTCTTGCTAGAAACAATTCTAAAACCTAATGGTTATGTTCTAAATAGTACTTTTTAATATTCACATTTAAAACTGCTTTAATGTATTACAATTCTGTCGCTCGTTTTTGGGGCTCCGATATATGAAATGACGTAGTGATAAGGTAAATTAATAGGTAACATTTTGTTTATTTTTTTTTTGCACAGATCCCTTTAAAGCTTTCATGACTTACCTGGGGATTTCTTCCATCGAATAACTGGATCTGGATAACCATTAGCTTGGCAGTCGAACATAACTAGCTGGCCCACAACTACAGCTTTGTCAACGGGTTCTGTACGCCATTTTGGAGGAACTGTAAAAAAAAAAAAAAAATTAACTTCTAAGTCTTGAAGGAAGCGCTCTAAGATTGAAATAAATAGTGAAGCTTCTTTAACTTTGTCAATAAATAAAAAACATAACAGTAAATTTCGCTGTTTAAAACACATAAAACGGTACGAAAATTAGAACGTAATAAAAACAGTTTAAAACTCTGTAAACTTTCAGAGTTTCTATAACAAAACGGAAGTGGACTTCCTAGTAATTAGCTGAACAAAAAGAAGACATGCTACCTGCATACTATTTTGTTAGAAAAAGAAAAGTTAATGACTGTCGTTGAGGCTAATAGAAGCTGAAATGTCTTTTCATTTGGAGGAAGCAGGTTATTTACAATTTGGAAAGTCTTTCCACTCGTTTCATTCCCGTTATAATGATTTTTAATTTTCTGAATACATTTACTGTTTGGACTGTTGATATAAGGTTATGCTTGCATGCAGAAATTATTCAGTTTATGTTGACATTAATTTGCATTTGCGGTTTAAGACTTCAAATGGGAGAATTTTGAGAAAACTTTTCTCATTCCCACAGCATTTTAGTTAAGAAGGAAAAACACATTCTTATTCTCATGAACTTCGTACACAGAAACACATAAGAAAGAAAGTGAAAATAGTTTGCAACAAATGCTTACAAAAAAAAAAAAAAAAAAAAAAAAAAAAAAAAAAACACCTTAGCTATACTATTGTGAAGTTATATTAATGCTTAGACACATAGTATGTAATAAGGCTATTTTCATTATTTAAAACTGCAGTATGTAGAAGAAGGAGTAATAAAAGGGTATCAGCGCACACGTTTTCTAATTTATAAACATGGCTTTTCTGTCAGTAAGAATGTTTTATTAGAATATATTTCAGGGATAGCAAAAACATACATTATAAACAAACATACATGGCAAAGAAATTTAATAATGGTCTATTAAAGCATTTTTACATAAAATAAATTTTAAAAACTTAATAATGGCCCACTAGGTCATTTTTACATAAAATAGAATATGTTATGCCTTAAATTACTTTAATCGAAAAGAAAGCTTGAAATTCAATATCTTACAGCAAATGACAATGTCACAAGCATGTTTACAATTAAAAATAAATTTGAACCATTAGGACATTCAGCCAAACACAAAGCTGCATACTAAAAAATCGAAAGCTGATAAATATACAATTTAAGGTCTCATAAACAGGATAGAGAAGGTAGTGAATATCTTTCGTTATTCAGCGAATGCGAGAAGTTGACACTATGGAATTGCATTTCTTATGTTTTGCTGACGCTTTTACAACTCAGTTCGCTGGATTTTTGTGGTAGATTTTGAGCTTAATTCAGACAAGATACCTCAGATTAGTGTCTCGCTTATAGAAGTAGTTAAATAAGACCGTTAATGTATCAAGAAATTCCGGGTATCCTCGCAAAAGAACGCAAAGAATGAACAATATTTAATTTTATTGACGAAGTGTTAGAGAGCATATACTTGTTACAGTTTTCGCAGCGGTGTGTTTCGATTAAGGAAATAAATTAAGGTTATATACTTAAGAACTTATTCTCTGTACCAAGGAATTAGAGAACGTTTCTCTAATTTGTACATATTGTTGTGTACGTGCGTTGTGTAATTTGTACGTGCGTACGGGTTTGTAATAGATTGAATGCACAAATCCGATAAAAAGTTGTGGTGTAGTAAAATTCGAGATTTTACGAATTAAATAAGTTCTGTATTACGCTGAATTAATTAGATATTAAGTTTAATTTTTTTTCTCAAGAAAGAAACATTTATTCGTGTATTTTTTTATTATAAGGAGATTAATTTTTTATTTTCGCCTAATTCTTAATATATTGGGATGCAGTTTGTAAGCCAACGCCTCAAGTAAAATTTATGTAAACATTTTCTAACTTAAAGGGAAGAATCTAGCGAACTGAACAGAATTAATTGTGAAATGTTGGTTTGATTTAATGATTTAATGTAAAGAAACAGGGCCGCCTGATATTCGTTTCCTTTGCGCCATTTTATTTTTTGTTCTGTCTTCTTTCACTCAGGGAATGTTCCACGGGATTCTGGAAGCTAGGTCTTTGTTCGGAGTTTAGGCAAAGGGAGGTGTACGTGATAAAGTATACTTGTAAACGGGGATGTTAATGGAAAGGTCGGGAAGAGGTCAGGATTTTGAGGAACTGGTTCCGTGAAAATTGACGAATTCTCGTAGGTAGCGGACTTGCACAGTAGAGACTTGACCAGTTTTAGAAAACGAAAAATTGAACTTTGGAAGCTTTGAGGGGCGAGTTTTGCGAAATCTGGGAAACAGAGATTTAAAAGAGAAAATTTGGAGTGTTCGCTCTTGCATTTTTGATTTCTTTCTCGTTGCTGCTGACACTCTTGAACGCGATTATCTGGTCTTCTTGCACTCCTTGGCTGCTGCAGACACATAGAGGACTATTCTTACTTGCTTGCCTGTGGTGTTCCTTTTGTCACGCCCCTGACGTTTTTCGTAGGGTGTTTGCCATGTTCGTGCTTTCTACATCATGCAAATCTAAAGGCATGCATTGTCAACGTGATTTGTCTGCTGTAAAGGATTATTGAATTTTTGCCTCATCCGCTGCCCCGCTAACGGACGATTTCACGAGAGAAGTGTGTAGATGACCGACGAAGAAGATGTGTCAACGGGAGGAGTCTTTCCCATGACGACTCACCGGTGAACACTAGAAGAAGAAAACCCCGGAAGCTGACAGGCCCCTTGCAGTTCTTCGCAGGAAAATCGGACAATGCTTAGGAGTGACCATTAGTGACCTCAGCAAAAATGAACTCCGGACCCTTTTTATACCCTACAGCTAAGTTTTTTTTCTTTTTCTCTCTTAATGAATTTTGTTTTCATTCTTTCAGTGTTTGATTACTCGAAGGACTCCAGGAGCCCTGTTTCTCTTAGCATTTTAGAGAATCTTATTTTTCCTTTAATTTGTGTTAATTCGAGATAATGTTTGTAGATTTTTTGAAGTACAAATATTAATGTAATGAATATCGGGAAAGTATTAAGAGATATGCTTTGTCATGAATTAGAATAGGTAAAATAAATAAAAATGCAGTTTGAATGATTATGCGAGTTTTGTGTTATTTTAATTGCATGCTATGCTGTTTTGAAATTATGTTTTACTATGGAATAAGAATTTCAAGAAAAATAGCAGGGAACCTGATTTCTAACAAAGCCATTTCCAGAGGCAGATCCCGGGTGCGTGTACACAACGCTTCTAGTATTATCAAAACTATACTATCACCTATAGGGGTTTCTTCCCTAATTATCCATGCCGACCACGTGATTAATTTTAGTAATTTAGACTTAGCTAATGCCAATACTCAACTACTGTATTACTCCATTTTTTATTACGACAAATTTATATTAAACTTTAAAGGTACCGTGAAAATTTACAATTTAACACAGTTAACAAAATGTATTCTTATTACAAGAAATGCAACAAAACTCTGGATTTTTCCTCAAAGATATTCGTACAATAACGTAATATCATGCAACATTACATGGGGAGAACACCCTTACGCATACATATTTTGCAACCAAAGAGGTGACAAGGAGCAAAGATGTCATCATTGCTCCTTGTCACCTCTTTGGTTCACCTCTTGTCACCTCTTTGGTTCACCTCTTGTCACCTCTTTGGTTTACCTCTTGTCACCTCTTTGGTTATAGTTCTTTTACTTTCCCAGCTTTGTATAAAGCCCGGAGGACCGCGGAGCTGCTTCCGCTTGGAGGGAAATGGAATATTCGCCGTCGCTGTTTCGACGTGGCCGTTTCGCCGTCAAGACATATTTTTTCTTTACACGACTGTATTATATCTTTCCGTATTATATTGATTTAGTTTAATAATTCTGTTTTGTTTAATAATTTTATTAAATAAACATTATAAAATAATGTACAAGATGTTTTTGTGCAAAATTTTATACAAGTACTTCGTTACACATAACATATTAATTTTAAGAGAGTAATGTGCTGACAAGATTTCAAAGTAATTACGTTTCCTATTCAGATTTCATTAAACTGTGAATTTCCTGCTTGTATGAGTGCTTTCTCTAAACTAGCCGATTAAAATTTCAAGACATTTTGACGAATAATGTAAATATTGCTCCCGTATAATTTTAAAATCCATATTATAACTTCTATTATATAACAACTATATATATTACAAGCAAACTTTATTACGTATACAAAAAGTAAACAGAATTACTAAACTAAACAAATTTAATACGAGCATAATACGGTAAGATATAATTCAATCATGTAAAGAAAATATGTCTTGACGGGGGAACGGCCACGGTGAAATGGCGACAGCGAAAAGTCCTGTACCCCGCTTGGATGGTCTTCCGGAGATCTGACGTAATTCTTGAAAGGAAGGAGTTTGTCTCTGGTGTTTTATTCTGTTTTGGTAGATTCGCGCGAACGTATTAGTTACTGTGGTATGTGGAAGCATTCTACGGTGTAATAGAGATTGATATATAAATTTTTATTTTTACTTGTGCATTGTGAGTATGTTCTTTTGTTAAGTTTTTTAGAGGCGTTATTGTTTTAATATTCTGTTAGTGAAGAGTAAGCTTGTCCAAAATTGCAATAAGGTGAAAACATTCTTATGGGTGGACCAACAAGCCTGTGCCCTGAGTAAAATAGGGTCGAAGGCTTGCGATTATCTTGGCAGATAATATATTTTTCGTTAATCACTATTCACATAATTTATTCGTTTTAATGATATTTAAAAGTATTTATAAAACAAAAATTCCTTTTCCCTTGCTGACAAAAGGTGAATTTAATTTTGTTTACAGAAATTCCGAATAAAGTAAGCTCTTTTTACACTAATAGTATTTCTTTTCGGAAATTAAGTGCCGTCTCGTGGAAACTAATAATTTCTAAAACCTTGCATGAGAAAACTCTGTTTTATACTATGGACATTTTAATAATAATTGTCCTGTACGAAATATCTCATTTATTTCAGAAATTGTTT